ACAAACTTAATATAATTTTTTTCATTTTCATAAACCTAATATCATTGATTGTAAAATAATATTATAATTTATAACTTTATGATTGTAAAAATATTTTAATATATTAACTTGAAAGTATGAAGATAAAAAAAATATTGAGTTAAATACATATTATGTTGCAATGTTATTTTTATTGAAATGTAATATATATATATATTAACATGAAAGTTTTTAGATAAAAAAAATATTGAGTTAAATACATATTATATTGCAACGTTATTTTTATTGAAATGTAAAAACAAAAAATAAATAAATAAATAAATAAAAACAGTTATATATATATAAAAGAGAGAAAAAAAAAGAAAAAAATTATTTTTTTGGAAAACAATGTAACTAACAAATTACTAATAATACTAATAATAATGATTAGGCTAGGTATATTAGATTGGTGTTTACTAGAGCGGTGTGTAGAAAGAAAATCCCTTTAGCTAAAGGTGCTAGATTAGATGCCCAAGGTACTCAAACCGTGGCCACCACATTCTTTAGGCCATAGGGAATGGTGCCTCACATACGACACTATTTTTTCCTGCCACGTTAAAGACTCCTCACGTTTTCACACCAGTTTTATTTCTTTCTATGTGGAGGGGATGATTTGTCATGCCATGTTTTTTTTTTATATTATTTAAACAACTTAATTTATATAAAACTAGATATTCCATTAATTGAAAGGAAAATTACATAATATGAATTATAAACTAGAAATTTCATTAATTATATAAATATATTAATAACTAACACACTTATGAACAATGCATAATTTTTCCCATTGGCCGTTTCCGGTTTTTTGCTCTATGGCTGGGTTGGAGCTTCTTTGTGTATGTTGCTTGGCTTAGAGCCAATTTTGTTGCATGCTTCAACTCACCACAATTATCAGCCAATCAATATTCTCCACCTATTGTGCTCCTCACTATAACACCCATAAAAAATCATGCCAATTTAAAACTTTTTAAATCATTCAAAAACCAATAATTATTACAAATTTGTTTTCAAAGTGGTTTCATGTCAGAGTATCACAGAATCAAATCATAAAATATAAGGAGGTGCACGACCATGCCTTCGCCTTCACACGATCATCAGAAGTAACTGAAACAAAATCAACAACTGTAAGCCCGAAGCTTAGTGAGTTCCCTCAAAATACTCACACCACATATAACATATGTACAATAACAACATACTATGGGCCCAATCAACCATCAGGTTGGAATGCCAACATACTATGGGTCCAATCATCCTCGGGATGGTATACCCTCATCCCACAACCATTGTGTTGGAATGTCCACATACTATGAGTCCAATCATCCTCGGGATGGAATACTCTCGGCCCAAAACCATCGGGTTGGAATGCCCAGGTCTGTTGGCTCATGCACAAAGCAGATGCCTCAACCACCAATCAAACATGTGCACACATACCAAATAATCATATAACAGTCTACAAACAGTCAAGCTGATCTACAGATCACTAAGCATAGCAACATCATGTCTACCAGGATACCGATCTAACATATCATAATCACATAGAAACATCCTATCTACTAGGATACCAATCTAACAGATCATAACAGTAACAAAACAGGATAACAATCCAAAGGGACGACCTTGGTGCCTTAGACCCTTGAGTATAGTGAGGAAAACTCACCTCACAAGTAGCTCGAGATGATAATGTCAAACTCCCCAAATATAGCTCCAAACTCAAACACCTACATCCACCAATAATCCACTCCCATATATTTCCAAATTACTAAAATACCCCCAGAAGTCAAACTGGTCAACCCTTGGTCAAAGTCAAAGTCAACGATCAAGGTTAACGGTCCATGTTGACCCAACCCGTCGAGTGTAGCTAACTGACTCGTTGAGTTCCTTCAGAACTTAAGAAGTCGTGAAAACCCTAGTCGACTCGCCGAGTTTCCAGACAACTCGTCGAGTCCATGTGGTGTCCAAATGTCAGGAAAACCCTAACTAACTTGTCGAGTCATCTCACTGACTCGCCGAGTCCATTTAGAAACCAAAAACGGCCAATCTTCATCCGACTCGTCGAGTTGACCATGCAACTCGTCAAGTTCCTTCAGTCTATTTCTCATTCAGATGCTTTTACGTGAAACCAAAACTCCAAACTATAGATCTAGGCTCCTAGGGTGTTGTTATCACGTAAAGTTGCTAACTTTATGTGCATGCAAGGCTCCATGAAGCTAAAACACTTATAACTAGCATTAGAAGGAGGTTTTGGATATGAAGGAGGGCCAAAGCTTCATAAATCTTGAGGCTTTATATCCATAAGGGCCTAGAGGAGTCGAGATCTAAAACTATGCCCTTGTGACAAGCTCAAATCCGAAAGTGACTCCATTTTTGCAGCAAAATGCCCCTTTTCTCACATAAGAAGAGATCTAACAAATGGAAGGCCAAGGTAAAGGCTTTTTACCTTCAAATGCAAGCCAAGACAATGTAGACACTAGATCTACAGGCTTCTTCTCGTTCCAAGCTTCTAAAACTCCAAGCTTCTTCAACAAATGCACCAAGAACACACTTTAGCCTCTCACACACTCAAGAATGGGGTTTAGACTGATTAGGGTTTCTTCTGGCCGTCAAAAGGTGGTAAGGGGCTGGAGGAAAGGACTTAAGGTCCTTTAAATAGGGTGCAAACCCTAAAATTTAGGGTTTCCATGAACAGCCTCTACTCCTCGAGTCGGGGTCCTCCGACTCGTCGAGTAGGAGTCATAAACCACGCAGGCTACCTAGGTTCAACACGACGAGTTGGGGCCTCCAACTCGTCGAGTTCCCTTAATAAAATGAATATAAAGCTTCTAAAAATTATACACGGGAGTCGGGATGTTACACTCATCGTCTTCTTTTTTCTTCTATATCCAAATGTATGTATATAAAGATGCTTACAGATTTCAAGTGACTCCTTGGTTTACTATCTTCTCAATTCTATCTTCACAATTACTGCAATTTTGAGTTGGATGGATCAATTATCAGAACCCTAACGTTCTCCCAATTTTCAACATAGAGGTTTTCGACTTCTAGCTTCAGCGATGAGTTTTTCATCTCGCCATCAATTTTCATTATCCCAACCTTTTACCTGTACGTGATTTCGAAGGTATGATCTGCTACAACCTTGGAAACCACTAATCGAAGACACTGATTCTCTAAAGTAAGAAGCGCTACACTATTGCTGTAAAATTTCGACTAACACTCATTCTTTATGTCAAGTTTTGGAATCTATTTACATGACTTGAATTTTCGATCTTCTATTTTCGTTACTTTATGTGTGTTCTGATTATGATTCATTATTTTCTTGATGGTTGTTATTGTTATAGCTTCAATGGTTGATCTTTATCGTTCCCATTTTTTTTTGCAGCCTGGGAATCTCTTAAAACATCATAGACTCTGTTTTGTTACTTTATCCCTACAAAAGAAAGCCCAGTTTGTTGCAAAAGCCGAGAAAGATAAGGCTTTAGACAAAGAAGATGACGTCATAAAGAAAGAATATGACACCTGGAAAGATGATGGGGTTGAAGAAGATGATGAAGTAGGAAAAACCACACACACACACACACACACAGAGCATGGCTGGCAACAAAAAACATGTTCTTACAGTTCTTGCTCTTTTTTTTTTTGGAATATTGTGTCTATTCCCATGGAGGTAAATTGGTTTTGATTTGGAATTGTACTAATGGTTCTTTTTTAAGGTATTTTTTACCTGCTGAAGGGCCTTCTGTTTAATTTAGTTAGGTCATTGAAGAGCAAAAGGTGTTGTTTTAACATTAAAGATGTGACTATGTACGCTTATGGACATATGGGTCGAGGGTACATGTTTATAAAAGGATAAGGAATGTTGTTACCAAAGGTGAACACCCTTCTCAGTTCTTAAATTCGACTTTTAAATCACACAATTTCATAATCATCGTTCTGATTTTTCAAAATCACAATTAACAAACTATTTAATCTCAATAGGGTGGTTGGGAATCCATCAGGTTGATCATCAGATTGTTGTAATTCAAATGTTTCTAGAAGACTTTGGTAATATTAATAGTGTACATTTTCGACATGTGGAAGTTAATCCAAGTTCTAATTAGTACCTTTTTTCTAACATCTAATCTTATCAATGGTTTTCATGCGGAAATGGTGGATGTTATGAATAAGGTAGTGTGACATCCCCAAATTTACGGTCATTTTAATTTTTTTTATCTATGCACATTTTAAAACAGATTATTTCTTTTGTTGCAGAATTGGTCCCAAAAATATTATTTCAATGTGAGATGATATTAA